GATACTGCCTCGGAAACCCAAGGAGGGGTCGCTATGAGTCGGGGCCGACTCCACGGCAAATAACAACAACAACAAGGAACTTAAAAAAAAAAAAAAAAAAAAAAAAAAAACTTCTTATAGTGTAAGACTCTGGTGATAAAAGCACTTGGCTGCTAAGCAGTAAAGGTTGGTGGTTCAAATCCAGTAACCTCTCTGGGGGAGGGAAATGAGGTAGTCTGCTTCTGTAAAGATTTATAGCTTTGGAAACCCCATGAGGCAATTCTACTCTGTCCTGTAATGTTGCTAAGAATGTGAATTGACTTGATGGCAGTGGGTTTGGGTTTTGGTCTTGCTATGTGGTCCTGCCAGTGATAAATTCTTTGTTTTTTTTTAATAGCTGAAAAAGTTCTTATTTTCCCTGAGTATTTAAAAGATATTTTCACTGAATGTATAATTTTATGTTGACAGTTTTTTTCCCCCAGTATTTAAAGGTGTTTCCCTACTAACTACTATCTTCTTTGAACAAAGAAAAAGAAATCTGCTATCATCCTTACCCTTGTTCCTCTGTACAAAACATCTTTTTTTTCTCTGACTTATTAAAAGATGTTCTCTTTATCACTAATTTTGAGCAAACTGATGATAATGTGCCTTAGTGTAGTTTTCTTCATGTTTCTCATGCTTGGAGATTTTTTAGTTTCTTGGATTTATGGGTTTATAGTTTTCATGAGATTTATAAAACCTTTGACCATTATTTCTTCAGATATTTTCTCTCTCCCTCTCTTCCCCATCTCCTCTTCTTAGAGAGTCTGATTACATGTATATTTGTTGCTTGGACTATCCCACCATTAGGATATGTGTTCTTCTTTTTTTCTCTTTCTCTCTTTCTCCATTTTCTTTTGAGTATTTCTATGACTTCAAGTTCATTAACCTTTTTTCTACATTGTATGAAAAAAAAAAAAAACACCCAAACTCATTGCCATCGAGTTGATTCCAACTTATAGCAAGCAAACCCCCCCCCACACACACACACACACACTGAGTTTCGAAGCTTGTAAACCTTTATGGAAGCAGACTTCCCCATCTTTCTTCTGAGGAGCAGCTGGTGGGTTTGAACCACAGACCTTTTAGTTAGCAGCCAAATGCCTTAACCGTTACACCACCAGAGTTTCTCTGCATTGTGTAGTGTGCTGTTAATTCCATCCAGTAAGTTTTTCATCTTAGCCATTGAGGTTTTCATATCTAAAAGTTCAAATTGGATCTTTAAAAAAAAAAAAAAAAAAAAGTCTTTTCATGTCTCTACATAACCTGCTTAATCTGTACTCTAGCTTCATAAAACTGTATTTCATGGACTATAGTTGTAATAACTTTTAATGGCTTGGTCTGCTCTTTTTAATATCTGGGTCAGTTCTGAGTCTGTTTTGATAGATTGACTGTTGTCTTCATTATGGATATATTTTCCTTCTTCATTGCATATATGGTCATTTTTGGTTTGATGCCTGACATTGTGAATTTTACTTTGTTGGGCAATAAGTATATTTTTTATTGCTATCAATATTCTTGAGTTTTGTTCTGGGATGCTGTGAAGGTGCTTACAAATAATTCCTGACAAGTTTTGCTTTTAAGATTTGTTAGATGGGACCAAAGTGTTGCTTAGAGTAGGAATAAATGTGTACCGCTCCTAAACCAAGACTCTAGTGAGTACTCCACCCGATACCCCATGAATTATGAGATTTTTCACTGAGCTGGTGGCAATGGGCACTACTCTTGACCCTGAGTGAACTCTGGCTGTTGTTCTCTCTAACACTTTTGGTCACTTCTTTCCCTAGCCTTCAGTACTTTCCTCACATGCATGCATTAATCAGTACTCTACTGAATTCTTGAAGGGACCCTCTGCAGCTCTCTGACAGTCTCTCTGTGTGCCGTTCACTCCAATATTCTCTTTGCTAATTTGAGCTGCCTTGGTCTGTCTAGGCAGCCTTATCTCCAACACAGGAAGTCCACCAGGTTACACTTTGGTGCCCCCTCTATGCACCACACAGGGTAGAAGGAGCAGATAAGGGTGATCAGCTGGTCTGAGGACAGGTTTTGGTGACTTTTTAATAATGCACAGAAGAGTCAGGATTGATTTTGTAAGATACATAGCAGCTGTATTTCAGATGCAGATGATATCAGCCAGGTCTTGCTGATTATGCTAAGCCACTGATCATTGGGAAAGTTGCCCTTTATGCCTCCATGTCCTCACCAGTAAATGAAGGGTCTTGGTGTTATTTTACTACTGACCCATATCAGTGGCCAGAGATGGTTTGTTCATAAAGTCTCTGTGGTAACTAAGTGATGGCATAGCACAGTACAGGAAAGATTTGGCCCTCTCACTTCAAACTGATTTTTCTATGGAGAGGAAGGAGCAGGGGGCCAGGCCTCAATGCCCAGTTGACTCACCAAGGTGTAGGTAAAGGAGAGTGAAGACCTAGATAGTCTGCTAGATACTTGCTTCTTTAGGTGTGATGCCTGGGCTAGCAGCACTGGGTCAGCTGGGAGCTTCTTATAAAAGCAGACTGTGAAGTCCTACCCTAGGTCTACTATCAGAGTCTCTACTATGGCAAGAGCCTCAGCTGATTCATCTGTTCATTGAAGTTTGAGAAGCCCTGTTCTGGGTGTGAGGAGCTCTGGTTGCATAGTGGTTAAAGTATTTGGATGCTAATCAAAAGGTTAATGGTTTGAACCCACAAGCTGCTGTCACAAGCTCTGGTGGTACAGTAGTTAAAGCATTCAGCTGCTAACCCAAAGGTCAGTGGTTCAAACCCACCAGCCACTCTGCAGGAGGAAGGTGAGGCAGTCTGCTTCCATAAGATTTACAGCCTTGGAAACCCTATGGGGTAGTTCTACTCTGTCCTAATGGGTTGCTGTGTGTTGGAATAGACTCCATGGCAGTGGGTTTGGTTTTGATTTTGATTCCGGGTGTAGACACACACCCTCTAGCAATTGCCCAGCACCTTGTACCACTCCTGAGAGAGTTTCTGAAATATTTTCTCATTTTAGGACCTTTGCACAAAACTGCCGAAACATTGAACATTTAAACCTCAATGGATGCACAAAAATCACTGACAGGTAAGTAATGTAGATTAGTTTTGTGACTAAATGGCCATGAGGAGAGTAAGGGGAAAGAAACATGGTTGAAAATATCTTTAGTTTGTCTGCTCTTTTACAGCACGTGTTACAGCCTTAGCAGATTCTGTTCCAAGCTGAAACATCTGGATCTGACCTCTTGTGTGTCCATTACAAACAGCTCCTTAAAGGGGATCAGGTAAGAGTGCTTATTGTTTGTGGTTAAGAGAAATAGTTAACCAAATTGTGAATATTCTAGTGTGGTTGGAACCTTCCTAATAGTCTGGAACAGGAAATAGACAACTCCAACAGATCACGTGGGTGCTCTTCACCCTGAATTACTTGTCATGTACTAAACTAAAAAGTCAGTAGTAAACTCTACAGGATAGACTGCAGTGGGCGATTTTGTTTTTATTGTTGTTCTCTCAGTGAGGGCTGCAGAAACCTGGAGTACCTGAATCTCTCTTGGTGTGATCAGATCACAAAGGATGGCATCGAGGCACTGGTGCGAGGTTGTCGAGGCCTGAAAGCATTGCTTCTGAGGGGCTGCACTCAGGTATCAAGTGGTTGACACGGCTGTACTCATCATGTGGGTTAGGTGTGGGAACTTCATCAGGGAACTTGCTGTTGCATTCTTCTTGGTGCTTCCCATTTCCCTTACCTGGTTTCCATTCCTCTTCTGTTTTCTCTGTCTACTCAGTTAGAAGACGAAGCTTTGAAACACATTCAGAATTACTGCCATGAGCTTGTGAGCCTTAACTTACAGTCCTGCTCAGTAAGTAGCATGCCTTTCCTTTGAGCACCATCCTGTTCCATGTTCTTTCCCTCAGGAATCTGCTACAGGCACCGCTGTGACCACCCCAGGCAGGTAAGATGATTGGCAGTGCTCATGCTGACCACATGTATTTCTCATTCTGTGCCCTTATATATGATCTATTAATTTGCCACAAGATGAAAGAAAAAGCAACAAAAAGCATTATACTTGGCACAAAGCCTCTGACATTTCCCCTGAAAATAATGTAGATTGGGATCTTGGTGTTTCTGTGCAGTTTGGGGAATGATACCAAGAATGCTGACACTAGTTTTGAGACTTGGACAATACGTGGTAAGGTCTCCAGGTATTCCCCGCACCCCGACTTACAAGTTGAAGATGATGTTCCTGCTCACATTTTCTCAGTGGATAAATATGAAATAACACATATGAAAGTAGTTTGAAAGAAAACCAAAGATTCAGGGAAGCAGTTAGTCCTAATTACTGGTACACCATCTGATCCGTAACCTATACAACTATGAGACCAGAAGAACTAGATGGTGCCTGGCTACCACTGTCAACCACTTGGAGGGGGATCTATGTAGAAGATCCTGAGTAGAGAGAGAACAATGTGGAACAAAACTCAAAATCATTTGGAAAAAAAAAGGGGAGACCAGATTTGCCAGTCTGATAGAGCCTGGTGGAACCACTGAGACTATGGCCCCTACCTGCCCTTCAGGTCTGGAATTGAACCCACACTTGTGGCTTCCAGCCAAACAAAAGACAGGCATATGAGTTGAACCTTTACCTGAGGTAGATACACTCCTTCAGAGAATAGTCATGGGAGAAAGAAGGGCTGTTTATGCACAGGGAGACAACTCAGGGGGCAGGAATGCATAGAGAGATGGACTCAGGGAAGAGGTAACTATCGGGAGGAAGTGGGAGGGGAGCTGTTGCATTGTGGTAAATTGTAGTCAATGTCGTGAGACAAAGTGTGTGTGAACTGCTGTATGGAAAGTGAATTTGCTCTAAATTTTCACCCAAATCACAATTTAAAAAAAAATTAAAAAAAGAAAGTACTTTGAAAAATAAAGGGCATGTGCAAAAGCAAAGAGCATTAGCCTATGAGAAACTATTGCTCCTGCTTCACTGTTACTGTAAATATTGATCACTGAAAAGCATGTTTGCTAACAATCCTTCTGAGCTTCTCAAGGAGAACATGAATTTTCAGAAAAGCTAGAGAAATAAGTGTATGTGTGTATTTCTTAAATTACTTTTTTTTAATTTATTTTCTTAAATTAAGTATTGTTTAAATACTTAAATTAGTATTTCTAATTCAAGATACTGTTTTGACCCTTCATAGCTAAATTCATAGAATTCTAAGCCATTTATCAGTAATTTAGTGATTTAATTTTCCTATTTTCTAAAATAAGAAGAAGTAATTATATTTTATAAATACTATAATAAATAATAAAGTAGCCTGGTGGCCCAGTGGTTAAGCATGAGGCTTGCTTTTTCCCCCATATACAAGGTACTTTTGAAAGTCTTGAGGAGCCTGGGTGGTCCAGTGGTTAAAGTGCTTGGCTGCTAACTGAAAGGTCAGTGGTTCAAACTTAACCAGCTGCTCTCCAGGAGAAAGATGTGGCAATCTGCTTCTGTAGAGATTACAGCTTTGGAAGCCCTGTGGGGCAGTTCTGCTCTGTTCTGTAGGGTCAGTATGAGTCAGAATTGACTCAATAGCAATGTTTTTATTTTTGAATAATAAATAATGTTATTATAAATATTTTACATCGTGGATATCTAGATTATCCAGAGCATGAATCTGTAGAAGTCAAATCAAAAGATAAAATACCACATAATTAAGCAAGTCTTCATGAGATGTTAATTGCATCTGATTTTTGACATACCTGTATGAATTGTTCCTTAAAAAACATAAAATCTGTATCAGTTTTAATGACATGGGGAGAAAAATGAAATTTTAAGCGTTCACTTTCCTTAGTAATTCTAGAATATTTTCAGATTGTTTCATGATAACACAAAGACATCTCTGCCCCATACCTCTCTTTATTTGGTTAAAATTATAAAATGCCAGGTAACAGGCATCCAAAACCAAACCAGGCAACCGTAGATCCCATTTTCTTCCTCCTGTTTCAGAGGTGATGGTTTTTATTCCTGTGTTGTTTCTCCCTAGCACATGACTGATGAAGGTGTGGTGCAGATCTGCAGGGGCTGCCACCGGTTGCAAGCTCTCTGTGTGTCTGGTTGCAGCAACCTCACAGATGCCTCTCTGACGGCCCTGGGTCTGAACTGCCCAAGACTTCAGTGAGTACACCATGCCCTTTAATGCTTGGACCTAGGCTGGAGTCAAGAGTGTGCCTGGGTTGACCAGAAGGACTTTCTGGGAGGCTATGCAGGAGAGGAAAGGTTTGCCAGCAAGTGGAATAGGTGATGGTTATGGCAGTGTTTATTGACTTTTGTTGGGGAGTGGGGAAAGTTCATTTAGGTATACCCAAAGAGTTGTAAAATATCCACCACTAATAATAACCTTAATTTCTTTTTACCCACATGAATTGCCTTGTCCTGGTATTACTTTGTGCATCAGTGTGATCTGATAGCCCTTGGTTGAGCAGAGTGATAGGCTCACATAAAAATAACACCAGATTCTCCTCTAAACCTACTGCTAAATGAGCAGAGAAAAAGTCATGACTGCCTTCATATTTATCATCTTCCCCTGTTGTTTGTTGTTGTTATGTGCCATCAAGTTGAACCTGACTCATAGCAACCCCTCCTTGGGTTGCCGAGGCAGTATCATTACGGAAGTAGATTGCCCAACCTTCCTTCCGAGGAGTGGCTGGTGGGTATGAACCACCAGCCTTCTGGTTAGAAGTCAAGTGCCTTAGGCACTATGCTACCAGAGCTCCTATCATCTTCCCCTAGTAAGAAGAAAAAAAATTGAATAATGGTTAATTTTCTGATTCTCTGAATAAGTTGGCATATCTTTTTCACGTTCCAGTTGCCATCAAGTTGTTTCTGATTCATGGCAACCTTATGTGTGTCAGAGTAGAACTGTGCTCCCCAGAGTTTTCAGTGGCTGAGGTTTTGAAAGTAGCTCACCAGGACTTTGTTCAGAGATGACCCTGGGTAGCCTTGACCCTCTAGTCTTTCAGTTAGTGGGATGTTAGCCATTTAACCACCCAGAGACATCATATCCTTACTGGCTGTGAATGTTAAAGCTTTAATAATAAGAGCAATACTAATAATAGCTAACATCAGTCATGCTTATATGTAGTCCAGAACCCATGGTAGATACTTAATAAGCATTATTTCATCTAATCTTCACTGTATCTTTTTGAAGGAACTCTGGTGGTACAGTGGTTAAAGCATTTGGCTGCTAACCAAAAGATCCATGGTTCAAACTCACTACCCACTTGTGTTAGACTGGGTTCTCTAGAGAAACAAAAACCAGTAAAGCTTATATATATGTATATATAGAGAGAGAAATTTATCTTAGGAAAATGGCTCACACACTTATAGAAGCTGGCAAGTCTAAAGTTCCTGGATCACATGTTAAGCTGGAGGCTTTTCCATGTTAAGCTGGAGGCTTTTCCCAACTCTTGAAACTGCAGGAGCTGAGGAGCTCAAGGCTGGCAGGCAGTACACCGGCTGTTGACTCCAACAAATGACGAATCCAAGATCTCCAGGCCAAATGGTAGACTGTTCACTCACGGACAGTTGTAGACAGCACAACAGAATTCCGATCCACAGAAGAGTGTCTCTTTTCCCAGGATGTCCTTGGATATACTGGAAGCAGGCCACACCCTTAGGGAAATGCCCTTTCAACAGATTGCCTGCTCAAAACATAATCATCTGATCCCATCATGGGAATAACCACATCACAACAGCTTAAACCACACAGAATTGTGGTCCAGCCAAGTTGACACATAGCTCCAACTATCACACCACTTCATAGGAGAAAGATGAGGCAGTCTGCTTCCATAAAGACTTACAGCCTTTGAAACCCTATGAGGCAGTTCTCCTCTGTCCTTTAGGGTCACTATGAGTTGGAATCGACTCAGTGGCAGTGGGTTTGATTTTTGGGTTTTTTGTGTCTCTTTGAGATACATGCTCTTATTCTCATCTCTTTTGCAGAGGACAAACTGAGACTTACATAAAACTACATAACTCATCCTTGTTATATGATGAGTAAGAAATAATACTAAAATTCAAAACAGTAGAGTTTAACTACATAGCCAATAATCTTAGCCTATATACAAAAGAGAGAAAAAAGCTACTTGTTTTCTTATTCTTTATTTGCCAGTGAAATGGATCTTTTCCCATACATATGCCAGTTACATATAATTTTCTCTTCACATAAAATTTAGAAAATATAAAATTAACCGTTTTAGCTATTTTAAAGTAAACAATTCAGTGGTTTTTAGTATAGTCACAATATTGTACTATCAATATTAGTACAATAATAGTACAATATTGTACTACTGTACTATACAATATTGTAACAATCATTACCACTATCTAATTTCAGGATATTTTCATCACCCCCAAAAAAAACTTCATACCTATTAAGCAGTCATTTCCCATTCCCCTCTGTCCACAGCCCCCATTGTTGTTAAGTGCCATTATGTCAGTTTTGATTCATAGTGACCCTGTGTACAAAAGAACAAAACACTGCCCAGTCCTGCATCATCCTCATAATTGTCGTTGCCATGTTTGAGCCCATTACTGCAGCCACTGTGTAAGTCCATCTCATTGAGAGTCTTCTACTTTTTCACTGTCCCTCTACCACAAATGATATTCTTGTCTAAGGACCAGTCCCTCCTGATAGCATGTCCAAGGTAGGTAAGATAAACTCTTCACATCCTCACTTCCAAGGAGCATTCTGGCTCAACTTCTTCCAGGACAGATTTGTTCCTTCTTCTGGCAGTCCACAGTACATTCAGTATGCTTTGCCAAAACCATAATTTGAAGGCATCAGTTCTTCTTCAGTCTTCCTTATTCATGATCTAGCTTTCATATCATATGAGGTGTTTGAAAATATCATGGCTTAGGTTAGGTACACCTTAGTCCTCAAAGTGACATCTTTGATTTTCAACAGATTTACCCAGTGCAAATATGTTGTTTGACTTCTTAACTACTGCCTCTGTGAGCATTTTCCAAGTAAAAGGAAATCCTTGACAATTTCAATCTTTTCTCCATTTATCATGATGTTTATTGGCCCCGTTGTGAAGATTTTTGTTTTCTTTAATCCATGCTGAACACTGTAGTGTTTGGTCTTCATCATTCAGTGCTTCTAGTTCTTTTCACTTTCAGCAAGCAAGGTTGTATAATCTGCATATCACAGTTTGTTAATTCATCTTCCTTTAATCCTGGTGCTACATCCTTCTTCACATAGTCCACCTTCTCAGATTATTTGCTCAGTGTACAGATGGAGTAAGTGTAGTAAAAGGATACAACCCTGACACACACCTTTCCTGATTTTAAACCATGTGGTGTCCCTTTGTTCTGTTCACATGACTTCCTCTTGCTGTGTGTACAGGTTCCTCATGAGCACAATTATGTGTTCTGGAATTCCCATTCTTCAAAATGTTTTCCATAAATTGTTATGATTCACACAGTTGAATGCCTTTGCATAGTCAATAAAACACAGGTAAATATCTTTCTGGTATTCTCTAGTTTCAGCCACAATCCATCTGACGTCATCAATAAAATCCCTTGTTCCATGTCTTCTAAATCTGTTTTAAATTTCTGGCAGTTCCCTGTCAATATCCTGCTGTGACCATTTTTGAACTACCTTCTGCAGTTTTACTTACATGTGATATTAATGATACCATTTTATAATTTCTGCATTCTGTTTGATCACCTTTCTTTGAACGAGGTGCAAATATGGATCTCCCACAGTCGGTTGGCCAGGTAGCTGTCTACCAAATTTCTTGGCATAGACAAGTGAGGGTCTCCAGCACAGCATCCATTTGTTGAAACATCTCAAACGGTATTCCTTCAGTTCTGGAGCCTTGTTTTTCACCAGTGCCTCTGGTATGGCTTGTATTTTTTTCTTTACTACTATCGGTTCTTGATTATATGCTAGAAATGGTTTAGTGTTGACCTTTTTTTTTTTTTGGTATACTGACTCTGTGTATTCCTTCCATCTTCTTTTGATGCTTATTGCCCATTAAAAAAAAAAAAAAAAAAACCTCACTATTGTCGAGTCAGAGCCAACTCATAGCAACCCCTCCTTGGGTTTCTGAGGCAGTATCACTATGGAAGTAGATTGCCCAATCTTCCTTCCGAGGAGTGGCTGATGGGTTTGAACCCCCAGCCTTCTGGTTAGCAGTCACATTCCTTGGGCACTATGCCACCAGAGCTCCCAATAGAATCTTTCAGTATTGCAAGTCAAGATTTACATTTTTTTCTTGTTTTTTTTCACCTTGAGAAATGCCAAACATGTTTTTCCCTTTTGGTTTTCTAACTCCAGCTCTTTGCACATTTCATTATTATACTTTATCTTCTCAAACCATCCTTTGAAATCTTCTGTTTAGCTCTTTTACTTCATCATTTCTGTTCACTTTAGCTATTGTGTGTTCAAGAGCAAGTTTCAGAGTCACTTCTGACATCTATTTTTAGACTTTTCTTTCCTGTTTTTCAATGACCTTTTCCTTTCTTCCTATGTTATGTCCTTGGTGTTATCCCACAGCTTGTCTGGTCTGGGGTCATTAGTGTTCCATGAGTCAAATGTATTCTTGAGATAGTCTTTTAAATTCATGTGACATGTACTAAAGGTCATACTTTGTCTCTTGTGGACTTGTTTTAATTTTCTTCAGCTTCGATTTGAACTTGCTTAGGAGCAAATGGTGGTCTGTTCCACCATCAGCACTAGGCCTTGTTGACTGATAATACTTAGCTTCTTCATTGTCTCTTTTCACAGATGCAGTCGATTTCATTTCTGTGAATTCCATTCAGTGGGTTCTACATGTATAGTTACCATTTATGTTGTTGATAAAGTATTTGCAATGAATAAGTTGTTGGTCTTGCAGAGTTCTGTCATAAAATCTCTGGCATCATTTCTGTCACTGCAGCCGTGTTTCTAGCTATCAGTCCTTCTTTGTTTCCCACTTTTGAATTCCAATCACCAGTAAATGTTACAGATCTTGATTGCATGTTTGATGAGTGTGGTAGTTATGTTTGTGTGTCAACTTGTCTGGGCCTGGTTGAATGGCTCTGCAGCTAGATGTAGCATTCCCCATGATGAGACTGGTAATCAACTCCATGGTGCAATCTACTGTGAGCAGCTGAGTAGCTTCCTTAGG